ACGGCCCGCCTGCGGACGCACCGCGCTCCACAACCGGTCGGATTGCAATTGTCGCGCTCGCGGACGACTTGCGTACTCTTTGTTCAGACGTCTTTCGAAATTCAAAATATGACTAGTTTGAAGTACGCACGTGATATTATTTTTTTTCCTAAAGAATATGATAAATTATTGTTGACCAGTATTTTTATGGGTTCCTTGGTATTTTAAAAAAGTTTTTAATCGCTTTATTCATTGTATGTATTTCATTATGCCGGTTATTATATGAGCGAGGTGCGACGCCATTAATCAGCCGATAACGAGTGGTATATACGAAACTATATAATGTAACAATATGGTAGACGATGCGTACCTACTTTATTTATCATCGAGAGGTATTGTGGCGTGAGGTTGGATGGTAAATTAAAAATAAAGCATTGGAATCGTCCAATTTAAAATTACTATAACTTTTGCAGGGCTTTGTAGTCCCCGATTGCGTCATAAAAATACATCTCATCCTTATTTCTTCAATAATATTATAATTGCAAAATAACTCTATCTGTCACATTCACGCCCGAAAACTACTCCGATATAATTGGAACTTTTAATGCGAAAAAAAAAGTTTTATCATTAAAATAATCATTAAATAATAAAAGTACGTCATTACTTGAATATTATTAAAAATCAATGATGAACCATCACGGGATAATATTTCCGATAATTTCCGAAGGAAAACCTTCACCTTGCAGCAAGTCACGTCCGCACTCAGCACTAAAACTTCATACGATTCGAACGCACAGGTCCGTCGACGTTGAAAAACAATTTCGAAGCGTTACAATATTGTGAATAAAAAATATATAGATGATTTGTAACCCTCAAAAAAAGATCAAATTTGTAATTAGCGTAGCAATACGTAACTATAATTTGAAATATTTTTGTTCAAGGACAGATTTATTCTTTTTGTCTTTTTTGTCTATGGAAAAATTTACAGCCACAACCACCAATTTGAGAGTAAATTTTAAATTACGTAGTCAAGTAACGGAAAAAGGAAATGTCATAAGTAATAATGATATATTCATTAAATTTACTTTCTTTACGTTATTGTTACTTTTTTGGATAAACTGTAAAAGTTACGCAATTACATTTTTGGCGCGCATCTGAATTGATCTTCGTGCGTCATTCATGATTAAATCTAAATTATTAATTTTAATGGTGAATCAACCGAAGGTTTAAACTTATACAATTTGTGGGAAATAATATCATCATCGAATATTTTCATATCAAAGCAACAGAAGACTTTTAAAACAAAAAACTCGAACCATCGAGCCAACGACGTGTCCATTTTTCTATCATGCGCTCGATACCAACCACGCAAAGAAGTCGCAATCCATTCAATACATTACTCTTTTAACTCTACGCAAATATTTATGTAGTTGTTATAAACGAGCAATGTACATTTAATGCCGCAAACTAAATTATCGTTGAAGAATGCAGTGGTAGAATAGTGCGGAGTTCGTGACTCAATCGACGCAAGGGGCCGTCTCCCGCCCGCTTATTCTTTGTTACGTAGTAACAGCGACTTAACTTATTTCTATACAATACATTGCAGTTTTAATACCATCTGTATGACGAGTAACACTTATAAAAACATCGATGGTCATCAAAATTTGTTTTCAGGTTGAATAATGTATATTTGAAAGTTGTCGCTAAAATCTTCTGAAAGTATAAAGTTTGTACATTTTTATCATTTGTAACGTTTTCGTTTGTTACAAAATCGTATAGATTATATTTATTAAATTGATTAGAAAATCAACGTAGCGACATACGCACAAAATGGCCGCGTCGTGCCTTATCGAAATGTAATGAACTTGTTTATTGTTTCAATTACCTTTTTGTTTTTTTTTTAATCAAAGGTTTTTAAATAATAAGTCCAAGTATGTCACTGTTTTTGAAACTTTGTCGTGGCTTAAACTATATCGCTTTAACCTTCATGGAAAATATTTTTTTAACGATTACTCGACTATGGTGATGTGGAAGCAGATCATAGAGTAGAAGTAGCTAAGAGTAGAATGTATAAAAATTAATAATAAGTACGCCATTTTTAATTTATGTACATATATTAAAAATGTACAGTAGAACGCTTTACCTTTTTTTATTTTATATATATGCCCTACAAGGAAGCCGTAGGTGTTTGGAATTTTAAGGGTGTCTTACGCTAAAGCTATCTTAAATTATTACCATCCATATTCTTATGTTATTATTTTGTTAATTGCAAATTATCTGCTACGTCGCAATTATATTATGACTCTGAAATAATGGTTACCTTTAATATTAAACAAGCTAGTCACCGTGGCTTCGCTCGAGTGGTAAAGGATATAAATATTATATTTTTTCTGTCATATACACTTTCCGTTAATGTCATGTCTACTAAGTAGTTAAATCGTTGTATAGGTACGCCCACGCCGGGCTCGCGAGCTGATTTTTATAACGATCATATTGTTTGTAATAGTGATATTTTCTAAACTATTTGTCATAATTTTAAATTGTTAATGCAAATTTATTCTCCATTAGCAGTCGCCCGCGACTCGGTTCATGAAAATCCGGTCAGTCCTTGCGGAGATTCCTTCAAACAAACATCCAACCATTCATCTAAACATTCCCATTTATTATATTAGTAAGATTAAATTATATTATTTGAATAAGGATTAATATTAAAACCGAAAAAATTACGTGCGATTTTTAAATGCTTTTTCTAAAAAAGAAAGTGACTATTGTGAGAATCGTAAAAGGTATATTCATAGTTTGAGTCTTGTACTTATAATAAAGGTCAAATAGTGTTTTGTTAACTTAGTACTCGTATTATAAGATAAATAATGTTGCGAAATACCATAAATATGTCAATGCAACAATAATATTGAATTTTAAGATTGTGCTTTAGTAAATATTAGAGTATTTATAGCTTTAATCCTTGCTAATTGCGTCTGTTCAATTTCTTTATCAGACGCGTAGTTGAGTCAATTTCTTATAACATAAATATAAAAGGTCTGCAATAATGAAATTTCTTATGACATTTTTGTTTATTATAACAATTACTATTTTTTACTTACTAAAAGCGAACATTTGAATTAGGCTACAAAGGGCATTTTCATGTTATAATTGCTATAGGACAAGTTTTTTTTTTAAATTAAAAAGCGGTCAACGTTCAAAAAATCATATCCGCTGAGTCATACAGCCAGTTACATATTTAGTTGCGTTCAGATTACGCGACGTGTATCCGAACGCTCGGCGCTGACGCGAATGCCGTTGCCGTCCCATGATGCGACGCCACGAAAAATCTTATCTTGGTTTTCGAACGCGTTTATTTGTTTTTTAAGAAATGTACGGATGGATTTACTTACTAAAATGTTGTATGTAATTAGAACAATTTAAAGTTGTGTCCACGTGTATCTTTTAGTAATTAATTGTCGATTTAAATCAATAATATTTGATAGTTCCCTAATTAATTTATACTTAATAAGTTTTAATACGATTAGCATTGTAATTAGCCTATATAATATCTTTAGAATGATGTTGATAATGATATTGAAGAACCTTAACTACTTATTAAATAAGGCAAAAAATAGTTATATCGAATTTGGTACATTCGTAAGACCAAGATTAGATAATTACTTACATCACACTTAAATGTTCTATTGAGACTATACAAATATGAATTCTTTTAATTACTACACTTACTAAAATCCATGAGAATAACGCCATTTAAGTGATGACGTCGATATCCAGGAAAAGTTATTTTTTAAACTCCATTTAGCTTTGATTCGTCGACATAAAACATTCAAAGACCTATCACAGCATGTCTATAATTTTATCTCTATGTATATTAAATGTTCAACAAATAAATAAATAGCGTATGATTCTAAACAATTAACTTTGTTGTAATTAACAATTTATGTAAATAACAACCCGTTTTAAGCAATTAACGTGGCAAAGTACTCTTTTAACTATTATTTCATACTAGAAAATTTAATTGTGTTAGTGAAGTTTATAATTTTACGTATTACTTGCGACAAACAGTGAGTATTAGTACTTAATATCGTTCCTGAAGAATGAGACCAATGAATGTAGAGATAAAGTATTTCATCTCTATAATTATTAAATGAAACTGAATCCTCTTTTGTATACTTTCCTCGTTTTTCTTTTCTTCTATGAACAGTTGTAACAATGTCTATTTACTCTACATGTCTAATGAGGCATTTATCTAAGAATCCTATTCGATATATGCTTTAATTCCTCATCTCTGTTACCATGAAATAGTTATAAATATTCCTTAAAATTTACTTTACAAATGTAAAATGTATGAAAAATCATATTGTCAGTTAGAAAAACCTTTAAAGAGAAAATTTTATTTAAAAGTGAGTGGTCTACAGGGTCGTCCTTGGCGAACATATATCGACCAGATTGGTGACATACTAAAGAAGGGCGATATTAAACGTATTAAGCCAGTAACTGGATAAATGTTTGCGATATATGAATAAGAAAAATTAAGAAATAGCCGAGACTTAGTTAAAAGTTCATAAAATCGGTTTGATGATCAATATACCTAAGTCATAGAATTTAATTTATTGTAAAATGTATTTAACGTAAATAATTTCAATAGAAAATCTTAATTTACTTTTATTACAGGTGTTAGTAGAGTCTTTGAAAAGATGGGCTATATCTAATAAAAGATCGTTCATGCACGATAAAATGGCCGGCTCATAACATGATCATTGTTACGTGAGCGACTAATATGTTTAAAATTTATAGACATTCTTTTTTTTAAATAAGATTTTTAATATTTAACATGTAAGGTTTTCTGTTCGTAATTGGTAATTTAGTTCTGTTTTTCAAACATGGTATGCTCTACTAAATTGTAGTTAGTTATTTAAAGCAACAAAACATTTGCTTGAAATGCAGCGTATTGAATGCAAGAGCGAAACCTCATCGGCTTGAGCGAGACTAGTTTGAGTCGGTGCGAGCGACTACGCGTCGGCGTATCCATTGGGGAAGTGTTCTCCTGGCGAACGGTCGTGTCATCGCAGCCGTGCTAGTGTGAATATCCGAACGCGTTCATTTATTGTTCGAAATTTAAAACATTCTATTCAAAATACAAATGACAGTTTAACGTTTTTAAATTGAAATTTGTTTTTTTTTAAATATTTTTTTTTAAATAGTTAACGCGATATTTAATCGGCCGTGTCATGTTTGCGGTTTTTAAACATCGAACCTATTGTCGAAGGCATTAAGAATTTATAAAACAGATATCTTTTGTTTGTTGAAACAATAAATAAACGTTTCTGTGATAACGTGGACGGATTTTTGTGTCAAATAAAGTGCCGTGATGTCGTGTAACAAATTCGGCACGAAAATGGGTAGGTATCTACTTACGTTTATATTAGTATTGCTAATTAACATTAAAGTTTTTTTTGTTACATTAAAATTAACATAAAAATAATTTTACAAGATATGTTTTTTGTTTTATTTTATTACATAAAGAATAATTAAAATTACTATAATAGTAATTTACGTTTACAATTTAATTATTATTTTTAAATAACGTCTTGCTTTTCAATGCCATTTGAATCCACCTCTGTAGAGGTCGTTTTTTTCTCTCTTTATTTTCGAGCTAATTTGTACAAACATAAAATATACAATTATTAAATTATATAACGTGTTTGTAGCTATTTTTGTGACAATTATTAGGTTTCATCGTTTATTTTCCACCATGACTTTAAATTAGGCGATATCAACACTTCAAGGTCTTCGGTAAAAACGAACATGACTACAACGAGACTGGTTAATAATTAATACATTTTATTAATATTCGTATTTTATTAAATTTATACAGTTTAATTATATTTCTAGTAATAATATGTACATTTACTATTTAAATGTATATTATTATTATTATTATAATGTAATTTAAGAGATAAAATTTCCTGTTATTTTAAGTTTTTGACGATTTATTTGTTACGTAAATTGTCCTGCATAATATAATCGCCGTAAACAAGTAATGAAAATTACAATTTATTAAGAACCAGATAAATTGATGAGTTTATTTTTAATTTATACTCTACAGAGTTAAAGTTAAGGTACAGATTACGTTGTCCGACTTTTTGGTTATAAAGATATTTCGTTATTAGTGTACGTATTTTAGCTCGCTTCGTGGTTTATTTATAAAATGTTTGCTAAGTACATTGCGAAATCACCACATTTGTTAATGATTGTTGATTTGTTGAATAGTCTAAAAGTAAAATATATATTTTTACATACTAAAATATGAAAATAAAATACGTTGAGTGTATCCAAACTGCCAGTTATTTTTTTCTCTTTTGTCGACGTGTATTGCCATTACTAAAAGTAAAATAAATTTGAATTTTTAATCTTATTTTCTTGCAATTACAGTGCATAATTGATAAAACGTTATTAAAATTTGCGACTGTATTTAATTAAATCAATTATTCCTTGAAACTCAAGAAGGAACGTAGTTTATCTTTTTTAAAAACATTTTCCTCAAAATAAAGAGTAATATTTTTACAGTTTGATATAAATATAAATTAAAAACCAAAATGCTTTGAAGTAAACAATTTTCGTTTAAAAACAGTAAAAAAATATAAAAGATATAATATAATTTCCTGTTTGTTGGCATTTGGTAATTATAAATTTTTATACTTACAAGTGTTGTTAGAAAACATTTTATTTACATTGTTATTAATAGTTTCATTGTATCTATTAAATTTAAAAGCGAAACTAATACTATTATCCAGCCGCGAGTTGCGTCGCTTTTCAAAATGGCGTCTAAGCGCCTTTTTTCACTGAGTGCTCGTGGCCGTCATTTTGTAGTGGCGACTGTCATATTGGAAATATGAAATGACTGGTCAAAAGGTGAGTCGTGTGCGCGTAATCATTTAGTGAAAAATTAATCTAACTTTAGGTTTAGACACATTTTGTTTACACTAAATACTTTAATTTTAAAGTAATTAATACGTACGTAAAATCTATTTTTTTTTTGCTTGAAAAAGTTCCAAGAACTCTTATGATAGCTTTCTTGTTTTAGTAGATTTTCTTGAAACAAAGCCTCTTTTAATCTATAAAGAGAATGGACGTGAATAATCCAAATACGTACGTATGTTCTCTTTAAGTTAATCGTAAAAATTCCATAATAGTAACATTGTACAACATAGTCTTTGTTTTTGTTAGAGAATAAGACGGATGAGGATATGTTTTCATACATGTCAATAGACAGTGGAAACCCTCAATAATAAAGGTTTATAAAAGTTTTAAGGTGATCTATAACTAATGCAGGTCAAAGACGTTAGCTTTTGCTAGTCTTTTTTTTTAATTTCGAAAGGCGTTTTGGAACTGCTCCATAGCTGCGAGGTCGAAACCTAAGTGTAAAACCTAATGTGTGTTGATAGCGTAATAGTTTTGTCTATTCATTTGTTATTCATAACGCATAATGCATTAAAACGCAAAGAATGTGGAAATTGAATTTATAATAAATAATATCTAATTGAATGTTTTCATTAAACATACTTTCATAACGATTTTAATTTTAAATTACCTATCGTTCTTTTTCATCGAACTTATTTAGAGTTAAGGAAGCAGAAGGTAATAATTTGTCTATGATTTGTCGTTGATAGAAAAAAATAACCCAAGTTACGTCAGCTACCAGTAATAAGTACGTCAATATCGGTCTAGCCGCTTCGGAGATTCCTCGGAACAAAGAATGATTTGCGGACATACAGACGAACATTTTAAATGGGATTAGGCCATAGAGATATGGAAAGTACATACTGTTTCGACCCTCCGTAGGGGTAAAGGCCATAGAGATATTACCTTGTAGTTCTTTCCTGGTGGATCGATTTTAATATATTTTTAATGTAACCTTGTTTCCGCTGTGGAAATAATGGTGAAAAACATGTTATCACCTATTTATTAACATAAAATAAAATTACTATAATAGTATTAAAGTGGTTATAGTGCAAAGAAAGTTAACTAAAAATTAGTAACAAAACGTGGAAGTTTATTTTGTGTGCAAATCGGTATGGCTTGTTTAAAAATTCACTGATTTTAATTAAGACGAAATTTTAATACAAAGCAAATTAAATTAGCTTTCTATAAGGCTAATTAATGTTTTCAAATATTTATACAAAGACCTAAGCTCGGAATTTGTTCTGTATTAAAATACCATGTCTACGTTTTATAATGAAAAGACTTCTGAGAAAAACTGTTAAATAGAAATAAGTTAGTCCATTTATTCCCCCTGAACTATTACCCCAAGGGGGTAAAGCATGTCCATGTGATACCCCCTCTGGAATTTTTTTCACACAAACATTCTTCATTTCAACAAACATTCTTTGTTACTTGGTAAAATTGTGACGACAACAATTATTTTTAAATAAGAAGATCAACGCACACATTCCGGTGAATAACTACTTTTCTACATAGTAATTTTACTTTTCTAATGTCGCCACTCATCGCTAGATGGCGTTATCAGTTTACATTAGGGATGTACCGCAAATTGCATCATAATAAAAACCGTTAAAGTGAAATACTCGGAACTCGTTTAGAAAACAATTATAATGAAATGCTTCGGTTTTATTGAAATACGATATCAACCTCATTTTATTGTACTTGATAATATTAAGGTAAGATTTACTTCAGCTTAGGTTGAATGCTTTGTTCTTTTTTTATAAAAAAAAAACATCGGTTGATTGAGACCTGTTTTTGTAGGTTAGAAGTTTTATAAATATAACCAAAAATATGATTTTATTTATTTGTAAAATATAACTATATTATTACTTAATTAGAAATCGTAAAATTCAATAGATAATTGATAGCCTACTTGTAAAATTAACATTTAGTAACCTAAAAATATCCTTTTGTAATGCTATCGCTTGTTCGCAGCAAAACGTTTTCCTTTTAACCTTTGGCCGAGTCAATCTTTATTAATCTATCCTTATTTTATTAAGGTTTAAACGTCCATTTATTAGTCTTAAACGCACTCGAGCGAAGAAACTTGTAGTTTATTCTTGGTTAGTTCAAACAAAAAGTAATATCCAAGTTCATACTTTCGGTAAGTAATAAAAAAAATCAAGTTTTCCTTCGTTCTTTATTTTAGTAGCTACGTTTGTTGCGTATTAGCTTTTATATTAAGCTGTAATTTAATCATAGCTTAATTTTATACTTATAGGTTATTGACACAACCAAACATTTTCTTTTCGGGTCGATTGATACATGAATTAATTGTAATTGGCCGATTTTCATATTATTCCATTGGTATAAAAATAGCCGAGCCTTCGAGCCTTGAACTGTAATATTTCTTTCCCCGTCTGACAAGAGGGTAATTTTCCATTGATATTTTTATGTACGTAGGTGTTTGTTAATCAATTTCATTGTAAAATATAGCTTAAACGGTTAAACCGATTTTGAATAGTGATGTGTTAGATTCATAACCGATTTTAATCAACCTAACCCATCACTTATGAATTGTCAAATTAATTATCCGAGTTTATGGATTTTCGTAATGTAATTATTAGTTTCTTTTATTTACTAGTGGTCGCTCGCGATTCCGTTCGCGCGGAATTAAAATAAAACCTTGTAATTAGTAGCTAGTTCTTACAGATTATGTTCTATATGTATGCCAAATTTCCTTCAAACAAACATCCATCCACCCATTCAAACATTCGTATTTATAATATTAGTAAGATCAGTAAATTAACAAGGCGATTTTAATCTATGTCTTAATTATGAAATGCTAAAATAAGCAATATAGAGTTATTGTATATCCAATTCTTACAAATGTCGTTTCATGCACAAAGCTTTGTTTTAGTTATTTTATACGTTCCATTTCTCGGTACGCTTTTTATATTATATTCATGTTATTGTTATACTTAACATCTCAGCGGATAAACATCCGGCGCTCAATCTGTGGGTCTCAGTTTGATTCCTATACATCGATAAAGTTATTGACCCGGTGGGCATAAATGACATTTGCTCATTCGTTCTCTACTATAAAGTACAAAAAGTATCACGAGATACTTGTCTATGTGTTGTCTTTGGTAATTTTCTATGCCGAAGTACGTTTTACATATTTTTTTGACAAAACTAACGTCTCAAACCAAAACAGATAAAGTAGGACTATATTTGCCGTCTTTTTATGGAACACTCAAATAAATGCGAATATTTAAATGGATGGATGGATGTTTGCTTGAAGGTATCTCCAGAATGGCTGATCGGATCGTGATGAAATTTCGCATAAATATAGACCATAGTCAGAAAAATACATAGACTAATAATGTTGTTTTTTTTTTAATTCCGTGCGGACAGAGACGCGAGCGACAGTTTAGATTATAAAGGTACGGTTATGTCATCTGACAAACAACTATTTATAACAATAAAAGAACAATCAGTCGAGTTAAATTCAATTTGCAATTCAACACGAACATCGAGTTTCTATTTCAAGATACAAGATTTTGCTGAATCGAAATATAACTCGATTGGAATCGATTTTGTAGATTCGATTTCAATAAGATTAGAATCGATTTTATTGACTCGTGGGAGACTCAAGTGTTTAGAAATTTATTAATTAATCCCAGTCAAAGTCTACAAAAAAAACACAAATACAGACTCTAATGGATGAAATAACGCCATCTATTGAATTTTACAGTGGTAGAGCCCGCTTTAACATCTTCGCACGAATTGGCCCGGGTCGCCCGGTGAAATACCACGAACACACAGAAGACACGCGTCAAGTGGAAGCTATTCCGCGTTTCGTCTGATGAGTGTGCGTCCCGGAGGCCTAATTTAGTCCCCTTTCCCTTCCAACCCTTTTTCTTATAAGGAAAGGATGGGAAGTGGAAGTGGATTTACCGGATGAGAGGATGCATGAAAAGGGAAGATATTTTCTTTCTGAGCATCCCCTTCTCCTTCGATTAAAGGTAGGCAACGCATATGCAATTGCGTATGTCTATAGGCAACGGTCATTTCGCTATTTCAGCGATTTCAGGTGGCCGCTCGCTCGTTTGCCTCCTTATAATATAAAAAAAATCTATTAAATGCATTTTGAAACTAAGATTTTAAAGTTTCAAATATTTAATTTGAACTTGAACATTGAAAAAAAGTTATTTAGCGTCATAAAAACATGACCCTAATGTCAGTCAAGGAAAAACATTGTCTGTTTTAAATTGAAAAGAATGCGTGATGAGAATTGTTATGTTTTTAGTACTTTGATTACAGTATATTTTATATATTTATAAATATTTTGACGATTCAATTCCATGTTAATATATAATTAGTATGTTAAATAAAGAATTGTACTAGATGTCGCACGCGATTCCGTCCGCGCGGGATGAAACAAACTTAATTAGTAGCCTATTTTTTCTTCCTGACTATGTTCTACATCTATGCCAAATTTCAACGAGATCCATTGCTAGTTCTGGAGCTAGATTCTAACAAACGTCAGTCCATCTAAACAATCACTGAATTATATTAGTAAGATTAAAACAACATTGATAAAGTCCAGGAATTCCAATTAGTTGAAGGTAGACGTCAGTACTAAAATACGCAGTAATACGCCCGGTGCAATTCGCGGTAAGGGTGGTAGGGAGTTAATATGGAAGGGGTAGTCTGCCTCCCACCCTGCTCTCGTGGATGGAAAGCCCTTTTGAAAGTATTACGTAGGATTTAATTCCCGAACAACGTAGGTACGAGTTCATGCAATAGTTTGTAGCTTATTTGCAACTTTTGGTTGTGAAATTTTAGGTTATAATTAGCTGTTACAAATTGATTGAAAGATTTGTAATGATTACAATTTGACGAAGAAAAATATGATAAATCTTACTAATATTATAAATGTGAATGTATAGATGGATGGATGTTTGTTTGAATCTACCTTCAAAACAGCTACATGGATCTCGATGAAATTTGTACATAGTCTGGAAGAACCCATGTTATTATGTTTTTTTTTAATTTCGCGCAGACGGAGTCGCAGGCGACAATTAATAGTATAATATAATAATAAAGTAACTTGATAAACTATCATATATCGAAAATTATAATATTATAGCTGTCATATACCTTTTTTAATTTAATTTTATTAATGAAAAGTTCATCATCATCTCACTATACGTCTCCACTGAGGGTTTCGGAGCCTACCCTAAGTTAGTTGATTCACACATATCTTTGAATTTCTTCTCAGATATGTGCAGCATCAAAATGTTATCCTTCGCCGTGAGAACGTCGAATATAAAGTTATTAGGGAATAAAAGCTAACAAATATTACCACTGTAAATAATACTATAGTAATAATTACGTAACCGTACGCGGTAATAGAAGATTACTGGTCGCAATTTATTCGTAAATTCGATACGCTGTTCGGCCAATGCTACAATAGTATTTGTCGAAATATCTATTAAAACGCCTGTCATTCATTTCCGAACAGTGATGTAATGAACATTTAATATTTTGATGTGAGAAATTATATATATAAATATAGAATAAAATAAAATTATGAATATAGCTATCTGCCAACCCTACATATCGTTGTAAATTTTAGAAAATCAGCTTTGTTAAAGCACAAGTCTAGCTGTCTGCCGCGACTCCGTCCGCGTGGAAATTAAACAAAAGTGAATTAGTTGTTAGTAATTAGTAGCCTATGTGTTCTTCCAGGCTATTTTCTATATCTATGCTAAATATCAGCGAGATTCGTTAAGCAGTTCCGGAGATACTTTTAAACAAACATCCATCCATTCATCTAAACATTTGCATTTATAATATTAGTAAGATGTATGGATGGCAAAAAAAGAAGTGTGTAAATATCGCCACAAATGGAAGTCTGTGGTCTCTGCCTACCCGTCAGGGTTACGGGCGTGTTGTTGATTGATTGTATTAATACGTAATAATTTAAATTATCCCGAATTCCCGAGAATAGAGTTCGTAGAAAACTTATAATATTAATAAAGAGGTATTTAAAAAAGCGTTGGTTACGCAATGTTTTATTTTTCCAATATTGAGTCATACTTCTTATAAATTTGTATTTGGGAGATCCCTAAAGCAACTGTTTTTTTATTATAAGTTTACTATACTTTCCTTATCTTATTTGACGTAGAAAACATACTATAAAACGACTCCCTATTGTTGATGTTAAAAAGAATTACCGTGACGTTATATAGAGTGGATTGTATAGAAGGTAAAGCAACCAAAGTAAAGCGGTCGTTTAAGGAATTTGTCGTTATATCGAGTGACGTTTGAAGAGTTACACTTTACTTGGATTTAATATTGAAGCATTTTCTAAACTGTTTATTACCAAATTACTTTTTAATTATTAAGCTATTATTAATAGGCATTTACTAATCATAATGACTGCTTGTTTTTGCATTAATTTGTGATTAGTAATAGCATTGGTATCAACACATTATTAAAAATATGTAACATAAATTTATAAAACTAAAATTCGAAATTGTGTTTTGCAATTAAATGTAAATATATAAATAAAATTTAATTAAATCCTCTTTGGTACCTAAAAGGATTTGTTTACAACAGAGTTACAATGTCTATTAAATTGAGTTTGTCGCGATGAACTGATTCTCGTGACAAGGCGGGAGTGGCTGTCGGCCATTTTGATATTCATGCGTTTGGCGCGCATTTTATTTATAGCACAATCTGTTGACACTTTGTTGAAAAAGATATGAATTCATTTGAAATTAAATTTTAAAATTAAATATAATTCTAAGTGATGAATTAGAAATTTTATAGTGTTTTTTTGTTCTCTATATAAAAAATTAAGCTTAACAAATTACGTCAAATGAAACGATAGTAATTAATTATAAAATTACTTAATTTTTTACAATATTGAAGGAATTTTTCTTTTATTCCATCGTCAAATAATACAAAATCAAAAATATTAATAATCAAAATCCATTTTGGTTATGTTTATAGTTTTACGTCGACACTTGTAGATAATCTTTGATAACAGATAAGAAATAAAGCTTGTAATTCGCTTAAACATTCAGATAAATAAATAGTAAAAATAAAAAGATTGTGGGAATCACAGTCGGAGAATAATTTTTTAAATAAAACATAGTCTTTAACTCATATATTTTTTGTGGAATTGTAAACAACAACTTTTTTCAAAACACCGCTGTTACATTGTCTACGATTACCCGAATGTCAGAAAAAAACATGGCCGTCATTCAGACGTGCAATTACAATACTTTTAATTTACGATAAAGAAATACTGTCAGATAATTAACATGATAAGTTGAATACTTAAGAATCAAATATTTAAATAATCTGTATCCAACAGATACAAATGATTAATGTTGTTATTTTAAATAAACAAAAGTGTTATTGACTTATAGCATAGACTAAATAAAGTTTTAGGTTAAGGAATTACAGAATATGTAAAATGGCTAACAAGATTTAGTTTTATATTGTACGCAAAGACGTTATTCATTGAGTGACGTCAATTGTAAATTAGTATGTTATTTCCAATTTTCCGGTTACGTTATAATGGATTAAAAATCTGTAACTTATTGAAATAAGACTATACATTGTTATTGAACAATCGGCCTTCAACTTGACCGAACGACCTCACATCTCGAAAGAACTAATGTACCTACAATTATATTACTACCAAGGATAATCCTAAAACTTATTTTAGGTCTAGTTATATTTTTTACGACGGAACAGACAAGTCCTTCTCATTGATTTTTTTTTTAAATATTAATTTGAGTATTTACCATTCTATACTAGATTTAATAGCGATTTTACGCGTCCTTGCAAATTTCTGTCATTTTCCTTTAGTGTACATAAGTACAAAAAATATCAATTTTTATTGTGAACTTGTTATAGCCAGCGACTTCGTCTGTATTGTTTAAAAAATTTGATAACCTAAGCTATATTTGAAAGCGTAATTTATCTATGTTCCATATTTCATTCAGATTAACCGTTCTGGAGGCACGCGATAAAACATCCATCCATACAAACATTCGTATTTTATAATACGACTAATTTTAATATTATATTAATGATTTTATTGCGTTTTCTATTGATTGTATTCACTTTTTCCTTATTTAATTCTTGTTTTTCTTACATTTATAGGTAAAGAGGTGCAAAAACGATGGCGGTCTATCCGCGACTCGTATACCAAGTCGTACCGGCAGGGCAAATGCGCCCCAGAGCAGTGTCAGCCTGGAAGCCGACGCTACCAGTACCACAAGCAGATGTCCTTCCTGCACCGCGCGCTACAGAACAGGTCAGTACACAGTACAACTAGACTGAGTTAGGGTTGCCACATTTTATTACCTTACTATGAACTCAGGGTTTGGAGCCTACTATAAGTTAAGATTGACTAGGCCATAGTCAACCACACTGACTCAAGGGGTTGACTTCACACATATCTTTGAATTTCTTCAGATATGTGCAGCATCACGATGTTTTCCTTCACCGTAAGAATGTTAAATAAATGTACATATGTAAATCGAAAATCACATTGGTACATGATTCGACCCCGGACCTGCAGATTGCAAGTCAAGTGCTTAATCACGGAGCTTCTAAAGCTCTCAATGAATATAACTACGTAAAATTGTACATTCGTTCTAAAATTTAAATATCCTTCTTTTTTTCCAGGAAGCCACGCTATTCACAAGACAAATACGAATCTTACTCCGAAGTATCAAATTCACCGCAACATCCGGCGCCGGATGAAGTCATACCGAGAATCAAACACGAGACCATAGACAAGCCTCTAGATCTCAAGACGAAACCGGACCCGCCTGAAAAACCGGACACAGTAGACAAATGCAACCAGGCGACCATAAAAAATGCAAAGAGCCCATCACTAGAAATCAAAATTGACGCGAATTCGATCCTTCCGGACGATCATTTTGACGATGACAAACTTTTTATGAATTCTTTACTTCCTCTTTTTAAAAAGATGGACGATGATACCCGTCTTTTGTGTCGCATTGAAGTTTTAAAGATTATAAGATACGCTTTACAAGGGAATAAATGCTTCGAAGCTTTAAAAATGGCGGAAGACAGCTTCTTTAAGAACCGTATTAGCGGTATATTGGCCAAAGAGGAAGTGTTGGATACACCTGTTAACTCTCCTAAGAATGCATTGTCTGAACCTAAATTGTCTATGACCACTCGTTCTGCTGATGGCAGCAGACCTGTGAGGAAACGAAGGGTGAGTTCATTTTTTTATTGTCTATGGTAAACGAAACAGCCAGTTACGTTACGATAATTAACCATAGATATCCGTTATGAATTGTGAGTTAGTGTTGTTACGAAGGTAACAAATTTAAGGGAAAATTTAAAAGCAAATTTATTTCCGTTTTTTACTATTTTTTATTTCTATTAACAGTTATAAGTAACAATTATTTTACTGTCCAGGCTCGTTCTCCATCGCCTCTACCGATGCCGCCCAAAAAGAGGGGACCAGGTCGTCCTAGAAAGGTATTTTCAGTCAAATCAAACTATTTTCTATTGTTATTAAAAATTCATTATTTTGCTTTAAAAATGCATGTTAAAGTTGTAAGAAACAAATGTAATTATATAAATACTATTTTATTTAATCTAAAATCTAGAATTTTAACTACAACTGCTCAAGTTCTATACTAAAACTGCACTGAGTTGCTAAGCTGTAAAAAAATCGACACTAAGTTTCCCTTAACGTCAAATTAACAAGTCTTGAATAAGACAGTTAAAGATTTTTACTTAACTTATAACCATCAGGTTCGTCCTCCTCCATCTGACTCTGAAGAGGAACCCACCGCAAGGAAACAGTATCCCAAGCTGAAAGTAGCTCCCGTCGAGATCTCTCATCTCTCTGAGTACGATGAGACATTAAACAGGGCTACAAGTGTATCACAACTGCCTAAACCTATGTTTATGAGGGTAAGTAATTTAAAAATAATGTCTAAACTTTCAAATAACAAGACCCACTGATGGCAGAGACCTAACTTTGGTCTTTACGTTTGAAGAGAGTGTCATCTAAGTCCGTGTGATTATTATTATAGACTAGCTGTCGCCCACGACTCCGTCCGGAATTAAAAAAATACTTAAGTTTCCTACATGTTCTTACAGACCATGTTCGGAGGCTATGCCAAATTTCAGCGATATCCATGCAGTTGTTTGGAGATACCTTCTAACAAACATCCATACAAACATTTGAATTTATAATATTAGTAAGAAGTAAGATAAGACTAATTAAGAACGGCTTACACTCATGTATTGTTCGGTTTAAAAAATATGTGATGTTGCAAAAATAAACATAATAATAAGTTCCACTAATAAAAAAATATTTTACAGATGTACAACTTGGAAAGATCAAAACCTAGTCAAGCAACACCGCCGGCGCAATCCGTGCAGGTCACCGTCAAATCGGAACCCATAGACACGTTCGAGACGACGCAGTGCAGCAACATGTAAACGTCAGTTTGACAGATGTCAAAAGTGTTACCATATAAAAAAAACTTATGAACTCTCGTGCCAGTTTCACGGTTTTTTATCAATATTTCGTTGTGTTGGTACCATATTATATATAACATATGGATCAATTTGAAAGTTGGAATGTAATTCTTATTGTCAGGGTCGTAAGGTTTATAATATGAATGGTGGTATGACATTAAAAATTTAAATATTTATTGTAATGTCCAATTACATACATCCGATATTATTTCTATTTGAATATCTTTAATTTTGAAACTATTTAAATACACTTCAATTTATCAACTATTATAAGGAGATTGGAAATTCGTGGACATGGCAACATTAACAAATTTAAAAAAGGTTCATTAAATGTTGTACAGATAATAAAATGAATGTTTTCTTTGTTATTTTGTATGAATGTGGGGAGTGAAATGTGATAATTTAATGTTTAAGTTTTTGATTTAACGAAGTACAGTTTTATTGTGAATTTGGAGGTCCATACTATATCGTCATTGTTTGTTAGTGGTTGGTATGTATTTAGTTATGTTTAAATCGTCATGTTATGTAAAACTTTGTTTCTTTTAAATATTATGTCCTTTGGGTGAAATCAGAATTGCGATCAAATTATGTGTTAATTAATTAATCAAATTAAAGGCTAAAAACCTCTTATAATATTGTTTTAGTAAGATAAAAATGCATTTTTATTTTGTACATTGATGTAAGTGTTAAATATAAGTTGAAAAGTTTCATTTCTTGTTATACATACAATTTGGCGGATGAATTTTGTTTAGTTTTTTTTTTTTATATAAAATGGCGTCCAAATTTATAAATGTCCGTTTTATATAGATAATGCATTCCGTTATTAGAAGTATAGTCAATGGTATAATGTCATTGTAAATTATATGTCTATTTGAAATAAATGAATTAATGAAAATGTTACTTTTATTTAACCTGAATACAATTTTAGTAAAATTGATCGTTAAAAAAGGAATTTTTAAAGTCTCTTTTGTGATTTATTCACATCCCTAATGTCCTATGAATAGCTGTCAACTTTTATCGGTTCGAATTCTTAAAAAAATACGAGTCTGTGTGTCTGTTGCTAACTGAAAAAAATATTTTTACATAACATATGAAGAAGGTTCCAACATCGTCGGAGATTGTGGCGGCCTCATGGCGGGCATTTGTATTATGCATTGTAGGACTATATTTATGTTCAGACTAAACAATTCAATTTGAATGGAGAATATCTTCTTGTGGTACTGAAAAGTCAAGCTCACTAAAGGTAACTTTAAAGTTTTCTCTCTTAGGTGAACAAGAGAAAACTCCGATGAAATATTTATCAGCTTCAGGGTACGGACAGAGACGTAAAAGATGCCATACAATTTTATCCGCTGAATATTTCACACAAATAACATGATCAACTCTTGTAATGCGCATCCAAAATTTCCCAGGGTTGCCAGTAAATATGCCTGGAAAAAATGCAATGTTTGAATTTAACAAGTACAGCAGAAGTTATAGGTAATCGATTTGGTCTCGATTTTTTGGTGGATCTTTTGAATCAGAGACTAAAATACATTGAACCGCTTATCTTACGTTGGTAAGCAAATCTGCTCTTCAAAGGAATATATTTTAAAAACTCTGCAGTGTTACCTGTAGCCCAGTCAGATAGTTCGTTAGTTAGAACACTAGCGATCATTGGCTGTCCGTCATTGAACTCTATACCAGCTTTAAACCAGTGCTTTTCATCTGAATATATCATAACACCTGCTTGGTCATAAAGCTCTTCGAAATTTGCTTCTACGCACACCTGGAATAATTAATTTTCGGTTTTTTGTTTGCCCTAATACTATTCTCATTCTTTTTTACTTTGTCCGTGAAAGTTTAATTTAAGTGCCTTGTTTCGCACAAAACAAATAACATGTTACCTGCATTGTAATATTTTCCTTAACATTAATTCCAAATAAATGTCCTGTGTTATGATGGAAATTGTAAAAAGTTTCTTGCCAAAAATCACTCTCATAATTGGTTGAGATTTCTAAGATATCAATGGTTGTTTTCCATTTTCTAGGTTCATTCAACCAGGAAAAATCTTTCCAGGTAAATTTTGTTAAAGACATAGTGTAACGTGGTTAGTTAATAAACATCTGAGAATAACTTATCAACACTTATAGCTTATAGATACGGCAAAATTCCAAAGTATGTACGTGTTCCAAAGTATGTATGTTGCTATAATTTAAATCATTAAGGAAATATTTTAAAAATTGTCTATATATTAATAAAATATAGAGATAAAGCTAAAATGATAAAGATTTTCAAAATAAAGATTTATTTTATCGGTTTTCACATTTTTTTCCTAATCGTAAAACCGATTGACGGTTTTTGACACATGTCACATCATTGCTACATCCCAAGCCGTTTCGACGATTTAAAACAAAATGTCTTCATTTCCGGCGACGGCAACACGGCGCGGGCGCGATGCACGGCGTCAGTTTATGAAAAAAACAAAATTTATTTTTGTTTTTAGATAGTACTAGATAGATTTACATCATTTGATTCTGTTTATTAACATTTACTCCCGAAATGGGCAAACCTGGTAAGTAATAATTTTTACCTAATTGCTAGCATGGATGCCGCATGGTTTTTATTTCATCGCATTCTTCATGTTATTAAGTAAAAAGTGTGGTAAATCGTATAAAAGTTTAGTATTAACATTTTTAAAAGCTTTATTTTGAATATTACATCGAAATTTTATGAAATTATAACCTTATCAAACTTCATTTTAGGTTATGTTGGTTTGTAATACGAATTACTTGTATAATTTAAATAGTTTAACATATAAATTATAAGATTCCTGATTACGTTTTGCTGAGTTTAGTTAAGTTTCAGTTGTGAAATTTGTGAAAAGGTTATTTAACACGTGTGTTACGCACGTGTTAGTGACACTTAAACATATAATGTCTATAAAAGGGATCAAATTATCTCAAAAGTCGTTCATTTGTGCTGCTGTTACCATAACCATGTGGTTGAAGGAATATTAACCACATGGTTGTGATATCTTTCCTTCAACTTGAGCCGTAGTTGCACCACGTGGTCACAGAATAATAACCAATACACAAAACAAATAGACAAGTGATACGTGATACTGTACTATAATATTAACGATATTATTGGAGTTAAATGTTGCGTTTCGTAATTCCTTTTCGAAAGCCATAATTGCTATGTTTTTCAGCCCTTTTTCTAACATATTTTAAAACAAATACAATGTTTTAATTTTGACTAATTATTTATTTTTTTACAGAGTTTAACAGTCCGCGTGGCGGGGGTCGTGGGGGCGGCGGCTTCAGAGGAGGTCGGGGAGGCGGCGGTGGTCGTGGAGGCTTCGGTGGCCGCGGCGGCGGTGGTGGAGGAGGTGGCAAATTTGAGAAGCGCGGCGGAGGTGGAGGAAGGGGCTTTGGAGGTAGAGGCGGAGGTCATGAAACTATTTCAATTCTATCAGTTAAAATATATAAGATGCAAGTATTAGCTGGCAGTTAAAAGAAATTATAATGATTGTAAAAAATGTAAAAAAAGAAAACAGGAGATTGAGGCAATTCTAATCTAGAATTTGTTCAAATATTAGTTAAAACCTAAAATGATGATTGTGGTCCCTCTAATCTGGACCTATCCATGAAGACTATGTCCACTTACCCACTTCTGATTACTATAGTTAGTAATTTATTTATGTATTGTTATTGTATGTTACTAACCTAAGTTAAAACATACAGGCCGCGGACGAGGAGGTGGAGGTAGGGGTAGAGGAGGAGGAGGAGGTGGATTTAAAGGAGGAAAACAAGTTATTATCGAACCACACAGGTATGTTAAAGTAATTTTTATTGATTTCACTGACATTGAACATCTTTCTCAGATATGTGCATCCCAATCCTTTAAATGCAAATTTTTAGATGGATAGATGTATGTTTGTCTGAAATTATCTCCAAAACGGCTCATCTAGATAAAATTTGACATACAAACAGAACATAGTCTGGAAGAACAAACTGTCTATTGTTTTTTGATATTTGTGAGCGATAGCTAGTTTCAGATAAATTTACATTTAACAAAACTCTTCGGTACCTTGCCTAAATGATGTAATAATACAAATAACTTTCGTTCTTCTGAAAGCGAATGCTTGAAGCTACACATGTTGTTCTGATATAACATAAATAACATAACATATAGCCATATAACATATATGTTGGTAACAAAATGATATAATTCCAGACATCCAGGTGTGTTCATAGCGAGAGGCAAAGAAGATGCATTAGTAACAAGGAATTTAGTGCCGGGCTCTGAAGTTTATGGAGAAAAGAGAATATCTGTTGAGGTTTGTATATTTTAAAAATATAATGGTAACAATTAGTATATGGTTTGCATAAATTCTGTTCATTTTTATATTTGCTTTGAAAGACTTAATTTAAAAAATATATATTAAAAATAACTTTGCCAAACATAGAAATGCACTAAGAAACAGTTACTTATGAATTATTACTAGCATTAACCCGCGACTTCATTTGCGGGGTTTTAAATGATATACTGATAAACTTTCAAGTGGCAAAATAAATTTTAAAATCAGTTCTATAGAGATTATATACAAAACAAAAATTCCCTCTTTACAATATTAGTATAGATTTAGGAACACGTTAAAATGATGATTGTGGTCCCTCTAATCTGGACCTATCCATGAAGACTATGTCCACTTACCCACTTCTGATTTGAACCTAGATTTATCCAATATCTCCTTAATTGTACCTCAACTACATAAAGTATGTGTTTTCAGAATGAAGGTGAAAAGATTGAATACAGAGTATGGAATCCATTCAGATCGAAGTTAGCTGCGGCTATCATGGGAGGAGTGGACGCTATACATATGCCTCCAGGTTCCAGGGTGTTGTACCTTGGTGCGGCTAGTGGAACCACAGTCAGTCATGTCTCAGATGTGGTTGGACCTGTGAGTTTTAATTTTTTTTTCCTTAGTTTAAATATTACAGGTTTTTTATAAATGCCACTGACTTGTAGAGTAAAAATATATTAAGATAAATTTGTTTGTAATTAAAAGATCTTCTTAAGTTTTCAAAGGAGTAGTATTTACGAGTTTTCAAACGAAATTACTTAGTACTTCATTATTTTGAATATAATTACAATGCTAAAACATTTTTTATAGACTTTCATCAAAGTTAAAAACCAATGATATCTTTTTTTATTTCTGTTTGGTTTAAAAAGCATTAGTAAAAGTAATAATTATATTACAGGAAGGTTTAGTTTACGCAGTGGAGTTCTCGCACAGATCAGGTCGGGACCTCATCAATGTGGCAAAGAAGAGAACTAACATCATTCCTATCATTGAAGATGCGAGACATCCACTCAAATACAGGTCAGATTGCTTGTATATTTTTCTACAATACTTACATTTTAAAAACGTAAAAACGTAATTTAAAGTGAAACAGAGTTCACACATTACTTTGAGACTTGGTAATAAAAAAACCCATACTTCTTTACTTGCTTTAGATGTTATTTTCAATTTATTATTAATTATTTATTACACAAAAATATATGTTGAAAATGCATGAAAGTACAAAATATGTGAAATTGCATATTTTAGCAGATTTCAAAGATATTTTCAATTCATCTGTATTTTTATGTGTCTTTTTTCATGATGAATACAAACATACTAAATATTTCATGTTGATAACTATTGAACTCTCTCTCTCTGACACCAACACAAATGTTACCACTCTGTCTACCCTCTTTCAGCAATATTCATAGTGAATTTTTTTACAGAATGCTGGTGGGCATGGTGGATACAATATTTGCGGACGTGGCTCAACCTGACCAGGCTCGTATTGTCAGTCTGAATGCTCAGCATTTCCTCAAGAACGGAGGACATTTTGTTATATCTATTAAGGTAAGAATGTTTATATGATTTTAATGGCCATAACATTTTAAATTTTAAAAGATATTTTTGTATATTTTGTCAATAAAATCTACAGTACTACAGTAAATAATATTGTATGTAATTAGGAAGCTATTTTGGAAAAAAATATTTAAAAAGGTTTAACAATCCATCCAAATTCGTAGATTTAATTGATTTAATTTCCCGTGATGACAAAAACAAATATATCTAAATCTTTCATGTTGAAAGAATTGAACTCTCTCACTGAGGACATCTCACACTCATAAAGACCACTAAACCTAGTAAACAAGCACTAATTCCTAGTATTATTCCTAGGCATCGTGTATAGATTCCACCGCACAACCGGAGGCAGTATTTGCAGCTGAAGTAAAGAAACTACAAGCAGATAAATTGAAACCTCAAGAACAACTAACATTGGAACCTTACGAAAGAGATCATGCCGTTGTTGTTGGAGTTTTCAGACCACCGGCTAAGAAATCATAGAAATATAAGTTTTGTTAAATTTTAGACTATTTTTTCAATAAACGACTAGACAAAATGCCTAGACGAATATTTTTATAGCCTTTGTGGCCGTGCTAGAGTAATGTTCCGTTAATTAGCTCCACTTGCTAGTGGAAACAAGGTTTAACTGATTAATATAATGGATTCCGTATTTTGAAACTGATACCTCGGCCTGATAGTGCCTAAGCTTAAATAAGTTAGATATAAGAAACAGTATGTTTGAGAAAGAAATATATGGTGCGATTGACAATATTGTTTTTTTTTCTTATATTGACATCTTTCAAATTGATGAACTGTTCAAGTAGGACATTTTCAAGACCATCCGAAACCGAGATGCATGTATCCGGTCTCTACCTACCCCAATGGGTTACGGGTGTGATTATGATGCGTTTTAATGACATCAATATAGCTAATTTGAACAAAATCTTATATAAATACTAGCGGACCCGACAGACGTTGTCCTGTCTACACGTCTTTAATTCGAATATTATTTAAAATTTGACACTGCGATGGTAGCGCTGTCTGTCGAATCCAATGTAAAACATTCTAAAATCAACAACTACTAATAAATTAAAAATTAATTAAAAAAACATTGTCCGGCGTACAAAATTGTGAATCTAAACCATTCCCAGATCCCTTTGAACACACACAAAAAATTTCATCAAAATCGGTCCAGTCGCTTGAGAGAAGTTCAGTGACATACACACACACAGAAGAATTATATATATAAAGATGAATATTTGGATGGATGGATATTTGAAGGCATCTCTAGAACGGCTGCATGGATCTAGATGAAATTTGACAGATTTAGAACATAATCTAAATATCTATATAATAATCTAAATATTAGGTGCGCAACTAAGTTCTCCTGTTTATCATTAGATGGCTCTAGCAGTAAGAGCTGGTCGATTTTGACATATCCAAAACGTCATGAACCAAGCTTAGACATATGGTAAACAAACCGTTACGACACATGAGTGATTTTGTTTTCGCATTATATACTTCTGGTCAAGTAAAAATGTCGAATTTCGTGCCAAACAATCGTCATTTGCGGGAAGTGTTGATTTTCTTTTTTCATTCGAAAAAAACGGCAGCTCAAGCGCAACGAGAGCTTCAAGAAGTGTACGGAAACGCTGCTCTAAGCGAAACAACATGCCGTGATTGGTTCCGTCGCTTCAAAGACGGTGATTTTGATATTGACGACCGTCCACGTGAAGGAAGACCCAAAACCTTCGAAGACGCTGAATTGGAGGCATTGCTCGATGAGGATTCGTGCCAAACATCGTCAAGCCATTTCAAAGCGATTGCATGCGTTGGGGATGATTCAGAAGCAAGGAACTTGGGTTCTTTATGAGTTGAAGCCAAGAGACGTTGAGCGTCGTTTTTCCGCCTGTGAACAACTGCACCAGCGGCAAAAAGGGAAGGGTTTTCTTCATCGCATCGTGACGGGTGATGAAAAATGGATTCATTACAGCAACCCAAAGAGGAGAAAATCCTGGGGATGGCCCATGGCCTGGCTGATCAACAGTTCCACTCATATGAAGACATCAAAAAATGGCTTGATTCGTGGATAGCCTCAAAAGACGAACACTTCTGGCGTCAAGGTATTCGAGCTCTACCAGAAAGATGGGAAAAGTTGTGTCTAGCGATGGGCAATACTTTGAATGATTCATTTGTAACCATTTTTTAATAATAAAGTTATATTTTTATCGAAAAAAAAGCGAGAACTTAGTTGCGCACCTAATATCATAAAAGAATACATACTCAATTTTTTTTTTAATTTAGCAGCTTTTGCTTTTTTTAATTTAGCAATTGTATAAATAAAACGACACATAAAAATTCAACTTATATATTATGTTATGTCAATCTGATTCCTCGCTGTCGGAATGTCCTCCGCCCGCCTCGCCGTCCTCACCCTCACCCTCCTCCCAGGAGGGCGCGCTGTCATCTGACTGATACTGTGCCTCCATCTCCTCGCCCGATGATGAGTCTGTAACAAATTATGTATTAAAGACTATTTCCAATTTATAGAAATCTTACTAATATTATAAATGCGAATGTTTAAATAGATGGATGGAAGAATGTTTGTTGATCTCGATGAAATCATGTTTTTTTCTTGAATTCCGCGTAGACGGAGTCGCAGGCGACCACAAGTATTAAATACTATTTTTCTTAAAAACTACTGAACAGATTTTAAAAAAATCCTTCACCATAAACTTTATTAGAAAAGTGAAAAAATAACAATGCTAGTAAATGCTCACCATCGTATCGCAGTACAGGTTCCTGGTCGATGTCCTCCTCCTCAGCGGAGCGCTGTGTCGTGGCCAGCTCCAGGCGACCCTTCAAGTTTAGCAGCTGACATAGATGGGAACGTCTGAAAATATTCCAAATCGATATACATATTTGCCTTATAAGAAGTGACATTTGGTTAAAACAACGTTAAATGTACAAGCAAAATTGAGTTTTCATCGCTGATTACTTACGGACAGGTTGTTGCTTGAAAATAACAGTTTTTCTTCGTTTAATTAAACGCGACTGAAGTTACTGTCGGATATTATTTCAAACCTTCATAATCGTCCAAAATTTCGATCATAAAATGGACGATGTAGTCGGGACACAATTAAACCGTTATATTATAAACTTTGCCTGTGTATGGACATACATACCTATGTGTAAGTATGGCGAGCAGCTGTGTAAGTCGTGGCGGTGTTGTTGCTAGAAGTAGTGCTGCGTGCGCGCGCAGTGTCGCCCCCAGCCACGTGCACACTGCTGCACATCTGCATATTACGATACAACTTATTATATAAACAACTAGTTGTCGCTCGCGACTCCGTCCGCGAGGTATTAAAAAAAGATAGAAGTCTATGTGTTCTTCTATATGTATGCCAAATCTCATAGAAATCCGTTCAACCTTTCTAGAGATACCTTCAAACAAACATCCATCTAAACATCGCATTTATAATATTAGTAAGATATATAGTTTTTTTTAAATTTATGAATTTGTTGCTATGACTATAGTCCACAGAGTACTTTGTAATAAAATATTTTTTTTTGTATTATCAAAGCTAATGACAGGGATGACGATATCTTATTTCTTACTAATATTATAAATGCGAATGTTTAGATGGATGGATGGATGGATGTTTGAAACAATCTCCAGCGCGGCTAAATGGATTTCAATGAAATTTGGCATACATATGGAATATAGTATAATTTTAATATGAAAGCACACATAGGCTTTTTTTATCGTAAGATGGCAAACGATGGAGCGGCCACCTGCAATCGCTGAAATAGCGAAGTGACCGTTGCCCATAGACATATGCAATTGCATATGCGTTGCCTACCTTTAATCGACGGAGAAGAGGATGCACAGAAAGAAAATATTTTCCCTTTCCATGCATTCTCTCATCCGGAAAGTCCACTTCCACTTCCCTTATAAGAAAATATGTGGGAAGGGAAAGAGGACTAAATTAGGCCTCCGGGACGCACACTCATCAGATTGTAGTTGGAATTGCTTCCACTTGACGCCTGTCTTCTGTGTGGTCGTGGTATTTCACCGGGCGGACCAATTCGTGCGAATGCCAAAGCGGGCTCCACTTGTTTATGTAGGTAATAGAATAAGATAATTTAATTATCAACCCTTTAAATAAGGAAGTAGATAGAGAACTCACTGGCTGGTCCTCCTAGTGGCCATGTCTGCGAGCTGGTCCAGCAGCAGCGGCACGTAGTCTGCGGGCAGGTGTGCTGCAGTGCGCCACGCCACTCCCGCCTCGTCCCTCTGCAGCACTGTCAGGATTATACTGCAATACAACATTTCAACATCTTAATAATATTATAAATGCCAACATATCAAGAAGCTCTCGCTAAACAGTTGGATTAAGGGCCTGATACAAATGCAGTTATCCTAGAAACCGCGCACAGAAGTAGAAGGTTCCTGTCTCTGCAGCCCTCACCACTTGTTTGAGTCATGGGACTCCGCAGCCGGTGGTGCTCTATTTTTAATATAATATATTTTATATTTTTTAAATAAATGAATACATATTATAAATGCTAATGTTTGGATGGATGGATGTTTGTTAGAAGGTATCTCCAGAATAGATGCATGGATCTCGATGAAATTTGGCATATATGTAGAACATAGTCTGGAAGAACACATACATTACTAATTAAGTTTTTTTTCATTCCGAGTTGCTGGTGACAGCTAGTAACATTATAAGTAAGTAATCAAACATCGATATATCAAAAAATCCATCGAATACATACTTTTTGTCCTTAGAATGTAGTCCTTGCATAAGTAATTTGGTTAAGTTCTGATTGACTGCAGATTTCCCTCGACTTTTCACGTCTAATGCTAGATTTGCCAGTCTCGCTTCCATTGATACTTCAACCTGGAATTATTAAAAAAAAAAATGTTTTTTAAATAGAAATATAGAAATTAGACAATCCTGATGATAATGTAAATTATAAAAAACTATTACATTTTGATTTACCAATTTATATTAAAAATAAACTTAAAAGATTAAATTTTTGCAATTTTAACAAAATAAAATTACTAATATTTTTAGTAACTACTAGCTGTCGCCCGCGACTCCGTCCGCTTGGATATATAAAAACCTTAATTAGTGTAGCCTATGTATTCTTTCAGGTTATGTTCTATACGTATGCCAAATTTAATCGAGATCCGTTCTGCCGTTCTAGAGATATCAAACACTCATCCATCCATAACACATCCATCTAAACATTCGCATTTAATATTAGTAAGTTAAATAAAAGCAACTCTTCAAGGCATAATAACGAAAAAAATTGAATAGTATCCTATGTCCGTCTCCTGGCTAAGCTACCTCCTCACCAATTTTCAGGTATATCGGTAAAGTCGTTCTTGAGTTATAAATAGTGTAACTAACATCACTTTCTTTTATTTATTTCTTAGTAACTATTTTTTCAACATTTTTAGTAACTGTAATACAAACCTGTCCACCCGGCGTGGTCCGTTTCCTCGTAACCCCGCCCATAGGTTCGACATACTTGACGTCATCTTTCTTGCTGTCAGCACGGACTTTGTTCACTTCATTTGTATGTTTCTGTTTCTTCTTATCTTTTGTGTCACCTCTTATTAATACTTGTGTTTTTGTACTTAGGTCCGGTGTCTGAAATATATATTTATATACTATATCCCGCGACTTTGTCTGTGTAGTTATTATGAAGTAGATGAATTATAAATAAAAAAAGAGCAAACAAACTGATATAAAAACAGCTAAACACTCAAGTATTATATATTCATCCGGTGGCGGCACCGACTAGTTTCGAGCCCATCGGGGGCCCTTCATCAGGATGAGTGATACTGGTATTGTTTCGGTGCCGCCACCGGACGAATATAAGTGAGTGTTTAGCCGTTTTCATATCAGTTTATTCTGTCTCACGAAAGTTTGAATAATTTAAAAGAGAAAATAGATTGTTTTGGACGGCTTTTAAGTAATAATATATGTATATGTAAGGGACAGATTCTTAATGCAAATTTTTAATGTCTATTTTACAACATTAAGGTATGAATTTCATTAGAAATGACTAAGTGCTCCCCTAAGTAACAGAAATCTGTGAAAATTATCAAATGTCTAGTCTCTACCTGTTTGTACACAGTCAAGTTAAAACTTGAAAGTATAGTCTCTATAAATATATATAATTTCAATATAATACTAAGCGGAAACATGTGTTTACTTGAGTTTAACTTAAGAAATAAAATTACAAACAAACTTACAAGTCGTTCAAATGTCCATATAGTAGTATTAGTATATCCTAGCAATAGATCCCCCGTGTTGGTCAGACAACAGCACTGTAGGGGTAGCGGGGTTGCATCCCCTGTCGTCACTTGTACTGTTACTGATGGCTTGATTGGTTTTGTTGATGCACTGAAATAAAAAAAAAAACTTATTACTAACAACTATATTAGATTAATGTCAAATATAATAAAACTAGCGGTCATCCGCGACTCCGTCTGCTTGAAGTTAAAAAATATATAATTGGACAATGTCTTCTTCCAGATGTTCTATATGTATCCATTCAGTCGTTCTGGAGATATCTTCAAACAAACATACATCCATCTAAACATTCGGATTTATAATATTAGTAAGAAAACGGCTGAGTAATAAAAATTAATTTTTTTTAAATAATTTTGTGTAAAATTATAAGAGAAAGTGCATTCACATTGTCAAATAAAGGTAACTAATTGATGACTAATATTATAAATAGGAAATATTTGATTGTTTACATTAAATAGACTCGGAAACTACTGAACCGAGTTTAAAAATTCTCTGTTCGCAATCTACTCTACCCCTGGGTGACATTATTTTTTTTTAATTCACGCAGACAAAGTCGCTTGCAACTGCTATATTATATAATTACGTAATTTACCATAATCGTAATGGAATTTATTTAATTTACTTGATAGTGAAAACATTATAAGGACAGATGCATATATTTTCAATGATATTTTAAAAAAAATTGTCTCAAAAAAAACCACTTACCCATTCAACATATGTTCATAATAGTGTACAACCCCACTTCTCGTTGCAGCTGCTAGCTGTAACTTTGAACCACCCTCGTCAGTTTCCACATTCACATCGATAATCTTAGGAGCATCTTCTAATACGAAGTTATAAGTTGGTGTTGCCACAACTGATGCTGTGATGGATTTCTTTCTTTGTCGTTTATTAGGTGTTGGTTCATCACCGTTGACTGGTGGATCATCTGTGATCGTCACATCCCAAAATGACAGAAGACGTTCATTCCTGAAAATATTATTTATTCAGTATGACAATATGATGACAAATTGCTCCTGATGATTGTAACATAGTGTTACAATGATTTAACTGTTGATATTTTCTTTTCTTATAAAATTAGGTGGCACTAATAAGTGGCCATCTGAATTCGCCAAAAAAGCGAAGCAACCGCTGCCCATAGACATCCGCAATCGCAGATGCAACCTTAATCAACAAAGATAAGGACACACATAAAGAGAATATTTCTCCTATTCCTATGGGATCCCTCCACTGTCAATTCAAATTCCCTTTTCTTAACAAGAAAAGGGTGGGAAGAGATAGAAAATTAGTCCTTCAACACCACACTGATCAAACAAAACATGGAATTGCTTCAACTTCACACAGTAAAGAATATAAAAGGAGCAAAATCTTAAAGGATATTTCTATATACATACTGTGATCCTTCTATAAGCCAGCATGTCTTCCCCGCTGTGGCCAATGACAGTAGTGCTCTTGGGGAAGCATTGTGTCCTAAATTCTTCACCAATATCGCCTGGTTGTCTTGAAGACGCCATATTCGGAGTTGCCATGATGCTGCTACTATATATTTTGCTGATGATTGCTAGAAATAATACAGTAAATATTCATATTAGGGAGTCTCGGATGCTATTTTACCAAAGAAATGGTTCAAGATGAAATTTAATGCTATGCTTTTTATTTTTGTTATAGAATTTTTGGGTATGCAATATTTTTAAATATTTTAATCTTCATCATCATCTTTTACTTTTTTTATTATTAAAGAATTTTGAGTTTTACTAATATTAGTTTTGACTTAATGAAGAAAGAAAGCTCTAGAAGTGAAAGTCATTGTCTGGTTTTGCCAGACCATCTCCAAAAACAAGGAACTATGGTTATAAAACTAACCTTCATATTCTAATAATGCAATACCACTTATAAACTATGATTTTTTAATTACCAAAAAAATTGAGGTGATTTCGAATACATATAAAATCTTAAATATGTAGTCTTTATTTTATTTTTTCACAACCATTATCTTTTGTGTGTGAACAGTTATGTTTATTGCAATCAACCAATAATTAGTTTTTTAAGGTTAATTTTTTCATATAAATTTGCATATTTATAATTTCTTAAATATGACCAGATATTTTTTTCTGGTCATTACAAAAAATCCTTGTATATGCTAGTTATATTTATAGTTTTCTTGACTTAATTTTAAAAAAATAATTAAAAAACTTACCTCACTGTGTGGAATTATTTTAATTGCGCTTACACCACTTGTTTGTTTATTCTTATTATCAACATTTATTTTGTACCTATGTCTAATTGTAGCGCTCTCTAGTTCCCATTCCTGGATACTGTTGTCACCTGTACAACTCAATAATCCATACTTTCGATGCCAATCAAGACTTTTAACTTTATTATTAGTATGATTTTTCTTGTCAACTAACACTGTTTCCACCTTTCCTTGCGCTACGGAGTATAATAGAATCTTTCCACTGGTTGTTCCTAACGCTATTGCTTGTGTTTCATTATCACTGATTGATTTTCTACGTCCACCTTTTTGTGGTGACACCTGAAAAGGTTATGTCTAATCTTTAAGATTTTATGTTATAAATACGTTAAATTACCACATTATAAGTGCAGATATTTAAAAACAAATATCAAAACAATGAAACGAATAATAAATTAAGCGTTTATAATATTACAAAGCCTGTGTAAAACCACGTGTGTGTACTCACCGATCGTGTGACACTTATCCATTGCAAACATAATGGTGGTGCGGTCAAATGTAGATCTGGAGTGTACTCTTGTTTGAGTACATTAGTTTCTGTATCCCATATTCTTAGCCTGCCATCCTGAGTCAGGGCAGAATAATATTTTCCGTCCCCGGAAAATGCTGCATCTGCCATTCTTCCTGTGACTGATCTTCCCACCAAATTTTTAGGATAATCTGTTGCGATAAATTGACATTACAACTGTGTTCCGTTAATGCAAAATATTTTAGTCATCTTTCTCATAAAACGAAGGTTTTAAAAGTTTAAAAAGATATTATAAATAAGAGTCACTTTTTCGTCTTGGAAGTGATATTTTCTGGTATTTTTTTTAATTAATTCGTAAAATCGTAAATCAATAACTTTACATTAGTTTTAACTGGAAATTAACATTTTTCCAATTCGTTGGCTGAAAGACTACGACCTTAATTTTAAAAATCTGACAGTGTTGCCACAAAGCAGCAAAGAAGTCAATAAATAGGACAAAGGAAATAGGAAATCCAAAAACTTTGCCAGGCAAAGTTGAATGTAGAGTGTAGTTTTGCTTCGGTCGTGTCTATGTATTGCGTACGATTCGCGAACGAAATCTAGTCGCGAACGTATGTTGTAGGCGTAGTTGCTTTTTTATTTTTTACTTGTGCTCTCGTTCCACTTTTCGAATCGATTCTTAATATTTATTTCTAGAAAATCTGTGCTTTATTTTTCGTGCTTTTTACTTCGAAGTGAAAAGAAATAATTGCGAAAGTGCGGTGGTTTTCGTGAATTATGATGTCATTAAATCCTTGAAAATATGAGTGTTAGTGTCGACGACGTATCCAGCCCTTTATCGGAAGGGCAGAGCACCGTTTGCGACGAGCCAACATCATCATCGGATAACCAAGGCGAGAAGAACGATGGCATTGAGGCAGGTCAGGAAAAATCGGAGCCTACGAGTCCCAAACCACATCCGATGGCCTTTACAGTTGATTTTGGGGAGAGTAAAAAATTTGACAATCGAAGGCTGGAAGAGTTAGCCAAGAAGTCTCAGGCACGTCATCAGAGAGTGCAATCTATGTCTGCAGGCTCAACCAGACAAAGCCCGACCATTCAGCGACCTCCTATGAGTGTAAAACTACCTAGGAAAGCTCAAGGTTACAATTCCGAAGGCTACTTTTCCTCCGACCAAGAAGACAGTGGTGTTTCCAACTCTATCAAACTCAAAAGTAGTCCTCTTGCACAAAATGTTGATAAAACTTTTGTAACTAGTCCTATAACAAATAGGCATGTGAAATCACCAACAACTGACTCATCACAACCAAAGAAACAATCAAAAAGTCCGATAGTTGATAGCATTATGTCTAGAAGTGAGAATTTCAGTTCTCGTCAAACTTTGATCCTGCCATTGTCTGCTAGTAACTCAAACACAACAGTCATACATGAAACACCAAGTTACGGCAACCTCAGCTACCAGAAGCATGTCATGACTAACATTATAGACCAAAGTCCTGAAGGTGTGATGTTAACTGATATCTCTAGTCCTGAATTAGATATCCTTACACCAGACAATGGTTTATCCACTCCGGAACCTTCTAAGAGTCCTTCAATTCATAAAGGGAGAGCTATGTCTGAAACTCCTGACTTACTATTTAATAAGTGCCCTCCAAAACCCCATCCATTGTTTATTGACGATGATATTGATAGACAATCTAATAATTCATCAACTGGAACATATACCATCGAAGGGGACAATTACACAGAAGAGCAAAAAGCTAGAATGAGTATAGACAGATCTTTCGGTGCTGACTTACTCAAAGAAGCCATAGACAACTCAATTAATAAACGTAACATAGAAAGAGATCCAGAGATTGTCTTTGATTTCCCTAATCCACAAAGGGTAATAACAAAAGAACCACGAAGAGAAGTCGATCTACGTTCCTCTGTCACTCACACTGCCTTCGAAATCCCTAACAAAGTGTCCAAAGACAAAAACGTACTAGAAATATCATGTTGTTACGAATCTCCTAACGAAAATGACTTAGCCGTACAAACATCAAAACAAATTAAATCAACAAGGAGTTATTTAGAGAAAATCAAAAATAGAGTTAGAACAATCACTGAAAAAACTTTCCCAAAACCGAAAGTAATCGAAGATCAGGACATCGGTAGCTTCACTTCTGTCACAACTTCAGGTGTACTAAGTATGAAAAACTCAATTCAAATTGATACACCTGTACGGAGACGTTGTAGCTTAACAAAATCTGAAATAGACAAGACTGATTATATACATAGATTGTCTAGAGAATCGTCCGTCCCCGTATCGTTGCCTAGCAGTAAAGTATTGCCTTTCGAAGATGGTACATTTGAGAGTAGTGCTCTTAAAAACGCACAGAAAGCGTTGAGAGATGATAGTGGGATATCATCTGATATAACTCCGGACCAGATGGTCGGAAGGTTGTCGTATATGAGTCTGAACAGATGTAAAGGTGATAAAACTTGGATACAAGATTGGGCGGAGAGTGTTAAGAATTATAATAACAATGCATTGGCTAAGGATGCAGATTTGATCATTTCATATCCTGACGGTGCGCCTCTTAGTCCGCGTTGCTTGCCTGGGAAACGTAAGTTAATACATTTTTTTACATTAAGAATACTCATAAATACTCGTATTCATTGAATAAATAATTTTATAATAGATTGCCAACTAGAAAACTTATCTCTGCCTATTCCTCTTTGTTAAGGAATATTTTATTTTATTTATTAAAAAGTCAAAGTTTGTTTTCTAAAGGCAATTTAAGGTTTCCTATGTTGCCTATGACTAGGTTTTTGTTCTAAACAATCTGAATTGTTGGTTACCCAATTTAAAAAAGGAGAAGGTTTCTTTAGTGAAAGTTTTTGCTTGTATTATAACACAAATTTATTCTCTGACTAGTTAGAATGAAATTAAGAAAAAACGCAATTTAAGCAAGTAGCCTTTGCCCCATTCTACACAGTCTATCTAAATTCCGTCTGGATCAATTTAGCCATTTTGGAGTTACCTGCTAACATTCATCCATCCAAACTTTTGCATTTGTAATTAATAATATGGAAGTAATTTGACTAATGGAGTTCTGAGTTTGTTTACTAAACAGAGTAATCATTTATTACCATCATTAGCTGTCGCGAGACTCCATCCAAACAGAATTCAAAATACTTAATAAGTAGTCTATGTGTTCTTCCAGACTATGTTCTATTTTTATACCATATTTCAGCAAGATTTATGCAGCTGTACTGGAGATACCTTGTAACATATATTCAAACATTTGCATTTATAATATTAGTAAGATAGAATAGTATTTATGTTTAAAGATAATTAATGTCATATGACTTTATAATGAAGTTTACTAAAGTACTGTTAAATCGCTATTAATCTAATTCATCAGCTCACTATACATCCTCACTGAGGGGCTCGGAGCCTATCCCATGTTAGGGGTGACTAGGCCATAGTCAATCACCCTGGCCCAGTGCAAGTTGATGTTACATATATCTTTGAATTTCCTCTCAGTTATATGCAGATTGGATCACCATGTTTTCCTTCACCATAAGAATGTGGCAATTGAAATTCAAAAAACATATTGGTGCGTGGCGGTATTTGAGCCCAGGACCTGACTGCAAGTGAAGTGCTTAAACCCCTGAGCCACTAACACTCTATCTTATATATATTAATCTAAACCTTATTGTTATTGTTCTTATTAAAAAGATTTTTTTTTATTTACTCTAGTCATAGTTCTTTATGTTGAAAACAACATATCTTGGATGGGATTATGTTAAAAGATATACATATGAAGGAAGTAAATGCACATATGACATACTGCACAGACATAATATAGGGTAAAAAATTTGGATTAATTAAAAACCTTATTAAGTAATCTATATTTACCATCGGTTTGTGAGACTAAAATCTCTGTATGACACATATCGTCATCCCTGTCATTATTATTGACAAAACAGAGATAACAATATATTTTAAACAGGGATTTTCGTATCAGAAACTTACTATTAATCTTGTCATAGATTTATTACGTAATTGATGTTGAAACAACACGTAGTTGATATTTTTAATGCTTGATTACGTCATAGATGCATACGTCACTTTTTTATTTGACCAAATGTCACATAGAACGCGTAAGCGAGACGAGAGCTTGCGATATTGTTATCTGTTATCAAGAAAGCTATAACTTTATATATAAAAGAAAGTAGTGTTAGTTACACTATTTATAACTCAAGAACGGCTTTACTGATATGCCTGAAAATTGGTGAGGAGGTAGCTGAGAGCCAGGAGACGGACATAGGATACTATTTTTTTTTTCGAATTTATGCCTTGAAGAGCTGCTTTTTATTAACTTACTAATATTATAAATGCGAATGTTTAGATAGATGTGATGTGGATAGATGGATGGGTGGGCTACAATATTTTTTTACATATCCACGCGGACGGAGTCGCGGGCGACAGCTAGTTATGTATAAATTAAAATATTTGTGTGGTGGATACCTTATGTAATTACTTTGCTGATTTTGACGAAATTTCGTAATCTAAGATAAAATGAAGGCTTTTCCTTTATTTATGTTTTAGTATTTATATAAACTCGTTTATTGTAATGTAGGAAAAGTCTTTCTAGCAATCACTAGTTAGCAAATATTCGTACATCCCTAAGACACGATGATACATCACTAAGTTATTCAGACAAATATTTTAAAAGGAATGCAGACGAATTTGATTTCCTTATAAGGAATGTACGGAGTGAAAGCCACAACCCTAATAAGGTAAATAATGTAGTTCGTTGACCTCACGAAATGATTTGTCTAGACTTTAGCTAGATTGTTGTGCTATAAAATTAAAATTGTTATGAGGGTTTAATGGTACTTACTAGCTTACTTATGGAAAAACAAAATTGACTGTGGTTAAGTAGTTTTTGAGTTTATTCGTTACAAAAATACAAATTGCGTGTATGTATGTTTGTCTCTAAGTTTCATTGTGACCAAAGAGGGAGGCGAGGCTTATTACGTATATTTGTGAGGAAATTTTCGTAATTTCATCGACAAAATTTGTTTTAGAATTTTTATAACACTCCTACCGGGCGTAAAGTGCACCAACGAAGTCATACAAAGTTTGTCGATTATTTTACGAATACGTTTTTGACACTCACGCAAATATTCGTGATAGATCCTGTAGGCTGAACCGATTTGTGTCGAATGTGGTGTCATTCTAATCAATACAGTCGGCTCAATCATCATCATCAGCTCACTATACGTCCCCACCGAGAGGCTCGGATCCTACCCCAGGTTAAGGGTGATTATGCCATAGTCAACCGCGCTGGCCAAGTGCGGGTTGGTTGACTTCACACATATCTTTGAATTACTTCTCAGATATGTGCAGGTGGCATCACGATGTTTTCCTTCACCGTTAGAACGTCGGATAAATGTACATATGTAAATCGGAAATCGAAAAATCACATTGGTACATGGCGGGATTCGAACCCAGGATCTGCTGATTGCAAGTCAAGTGCTTGGCCCCTGAGCCACCGACGCTCCATCGGTCGGCTCAATATTAATACAAAATTATATTGCTATCCCTTTTAGTCTCCTTGTAAAAATTGAGATAATTTTGGATGGATGTTTCTTCAGTGTAAACCAACTGTAAATTGTAGATCACACATTATCTGCCATACAAAATGTGTGAAAGCATGAAAGTTATTGAACTTTGTGTATAATATATTTAGTTACATATATGTATGTAACATTAGTTTTCGCTCACCTGTTCACTCGTGTGTGACCATATGAAAGTGACAGTGTATAGGGCGTGTATGGAGATATATAAATATCTTACTAATGTTATGAATGCGAAAGTTAAGATTAATTGGAGTTTGTTAGAAGGAAGATAACACGACACATAGATGTAGAACATAGTCTAGAAGAAAACGTAGGCTACTAATTAGGTTTTTTTTAATACCGCTAAGACGGAGTCGCCAGCGACTAGTAGTAATATTATAAATGCGAATGTTTGGATATATGGATGGATGTTTGTTGGAAGTTATCAGCAGAACGACTCAACGTATTTCGAATTTTGGCACACACAATACAGTCTGGAAGAACCCATACTAATTTTTTTTTTATTCGCTTGGATGGAGACGCGGGCGACAGCTAGTATTTGTATAGATAAGTGAAGATCGTAGTTTTATTTATATATTTTCTATCTCTTTTTGTACAACGACAAGTTATATTTTTTGTTTCATTCAGTTTGGAACCTTGGTGTTACGTGATGCGTGACAATATAATGTCATATGTCACCTGTTCACCTTGGTATTATTAATATCAAGCATATATTTTGTTTGTATGTATGTAACATACTATATCCAGGCATGCGTTGAAATGCTACTTTGAAATAACGTCAAAATTTTAAACAAAAAGTTTCGATTAAAAATGAAAAAAAAAAACCGACAAACTTTTTCTGACTTCCTTAACCTGCCAGTATCATCAAAATCTGTTCTGTGGTTTAAATATAGAAGACATATATAAAAATTATAATATAGATGACGAATAAATAAGGAAATGCTTAAAATTAAGTTAGCAAGCAATGTATAGCAAAGTTCTTTTAATTTTTTTTTAATATGTACAATTCCATTGCAGCTCGCAGCCCTCACGGCAGTACGCCAACCAAGATTCCCAGTCCTGTGGGCACTCTACTACACAGGAGAACACCCGTGAGTATACAGTTTGAAATAAATGAAACGATAATTAAAACAAATGAAACGAAAAATGAAAATAAATGAAACGAAAATTTAAATGATTATTTAATCATTACCGTTCTTACTTAGATATTAAAATAACAAGAAATATTAATATCCCCTTATCGTAAATGTAGAAAGCTTTTATCTTTTATTATTATATCTGATTGATAAAATATAATAACGAGTAATTTTTAACTGATTATAAGTCAGGGCTCACTTTACGTTGGCATTCAGTAGAGTTATCTCTAAGTAGGGTTAACATAGTATGTACTATTATTCCATTCATCTTTTCTTTCTTAAATCATAGGCAAAAGAGCATACAGCCTCTTATATTTGCTAAATTAGCGAAGCGACCGCTGCATGTAGACATCCACAATTGCAGATGCTTTGCCTACCTTTATTCGATGGAGGAGACGCACACAAATAGGATATTTCCCTTACCTATGCGTCCTCTATGACAAATCCACCTCCCCTCCCCATCCTTAACTTAGAAGACAGAGAGATTTTTAACAGTGGTAGAGCCCGCTTTAACATCTTCGCACGAATTGGCCCGGCTCGCCCGGTGAAATACCACGACCACACAGAAGATAGGCGTGAAGTGGAAGCAATTCCGCGTTTCGTCTGATGAGTGTGCGTCCCGGAGGCCTAATTTAGTCCCTTCCCTTCCCACCCCTTTTCTAATAAGGAAAGAATGGGAAGTGGAAGTGGACTTTCCGGATGAAAGGATGCATGGAAAGGGAATATATTTTCTTTCCGTGCATCCTCTCCTCCGTCGATTAAAGGTAGGCAACGCATATGCAATTGCGTATGTCTATGGACAACGGTCACTTCGCTATATTAGCGATTTCAGGTGGCCGCACGCTCGTTTGCCACCTTATGATATAAAAAAAAAAGATGGTAAAGGGAAAGGGGACTAATATTAGGCCATTTTCCTTCCTTCTTTATACCAATTCAATATCATTACTTTCTTGTTTATGTGTCAATCAGCTCTATGTTATATGTTTATTCCAAGCTAACTATTTGCATCTTTACACGCAATTTTTATTACCAATTTCATACAATTTTGGCGAATATTTTGCTGATGAATTTATTACAATATTTAGTTTTAGCATTTCCGGCGCCCTGGATTTTAGTGGCGCTTTTTTTGGTGTTAGGGGGAATTTTCCTCTAGAGCCTGCAGTGCCCACGTATGGTCTGCGCCCTGGGCGGTCGCCCTAACTCGCCCTGACTTACAACCGCCACTATGTAAAAATTGACTATAATGTGAAATTAATAATTGGCCAAATGAAAACCTTTAGGAACTACGATGAATACAAAAATCATTACTTAGTGACAAACTATGATTATGTAAATTATAGTTATATAAGTTTATGGCTTAGTTATAATTATTGTAACTTTTCTTAGGATCTCAGGGCAGCGGAATTACGAGGCATTTTTACAATGTTTGTACCGCTTGAGTTTTGAAGATATTTAAATGAAGATTTTTTTTATTATTAATTTATTGTTTAATTATTAAAAGTATAGTTTATTTTAATTGTTTATTCATTTGTAGATTTTGGTATTGGATAATTTTAGCTAATATGAAATTTTGATAAAGCGCATACTTAGTTCAGTGAGTCATCAATCTATAGTCAATACTTGAAATACAAGTCTGTAGATTTTTTTTATTTGACTGATGATTTTTATGCATGAAATAATACATTAAATAACAGTTCTTTGGTAATTAAAGCTTATCAAAGATAATTTAAAAATATTTTCTTTATATTTTAGTAAAATTTTAATATTTTCTGTGAGCGCGATTGTGCCTCCGCCGTTGAGTACGGCTGAATAATTTACGTTTCAACTCTTAATCCAGAAATAGATATGTTTAGTATGAATACACTGTACTTACATACACAACTACAGACTGAATGTTTTATGTAAACATTTGTACGATCAAAGTTATTTGGATGTGAAATGAAAGATCTGATGTAGGTGTTGTAATGAGAAAGTTTGGTTTTTTATAAATTACTTTTGTAACCAAAAGTAATAATAGAAATTACAGTCTATACAACTACTAGCTGTCACCAGCAATACCGTCCGAGTGAATTAAAAATATAATAGTAGCAGTCTATGTGTTCTTCCAGACTATGTTCTATATGCCAAATTTCATCGAGATCCGTTCATCAATCCATCCAAATATTCGCATTTATAATATTAGTAAGATGACGAAATAATAATTCGTTTGGCTACTTCTGTCATACGGTTAATCTAACAATATTAAAAATAGGAATTTTTAGATGTATGTTTGTATGTATGTATCTTCAGAACGGCTGAACGGATTTCGATGAAATTTGGCCCACATATACAACATAATCTGGAGGAACACATAGACTACTAATAATGTTTTTTTTTTAAATTCTGCTAGGAATAGAGTCGCGGGTGATAGGTAGTATAAATCTAAAATGTATATATTAATCGTAACCTTGCTCTAAATAAACTCGCCTCCCTGCCAAGACATCTGTAATAATATAAGTTTTGTAGTCAGCTGTTTCATGTTTTTATACCAACATACGGTATCCGTAAGTTTCCACAGCACATTCGTACAGTAATGTCCTTTTCACTCTTCATGTAAAAAACAAAGACAAACGATATGTTTACGAACATGACAAAATATCACGTTCATATTTATAGTCAAGTTTTTCTTGGTAATTAATTCTACGGATAGAGTTACTTTTTACACGATGTCAAAACGATTTTAAAGATTTAGGTGTCGTTCGATTCGTATTTTTCCCTTAAAAGTCTAAGAAACAGTTATTTGCGATCAAAGTAATTACTTTTACTATACTTTTAATGCTACATCTTACGTATTAAAGTGAACTCGCCGTAGCAGTGAACGTTTAAAAATGTTAGAGAAACCCTGACCACTTGAGACATATATAGTTTTTATTAAACAATAAAGCCACGGTTTTACGACAGATCCAGTTTTATTACCTTTCTGCTGTCTATTTAGGAGCGTCGGTGGCTCAGTGGTCAAGCACTTGACTTGCAATCTGCAGGTCCTGGGTTCGAATCCCGCAATGTACCAATGTGTTTTTCGATTTCCGATTTACATATGTAGATTTATTCGACGTTCACAAGGTGAAGGAAAACATCGTGGTGCAACCTGCACATATCTGAGAAGAAATTCAAAGATACGTGTGAAGTCAACCAACCTGCACTGGGCCAGCGTGGTTGACTATGGCCTAATAACCCTTAACTTAGGGTAGGCTCCGAGACCCTCAGTGGGGATGTATAGTGAGCTGATGATGATGTCTATTTAGAAATGCATTTTATTATGCAGTAGTCGAAAGTTTTAATTGTTTATGTATGACAACATCAATTAAAATCAATTAGTTTAAAAAATATATATAATATGTTTTTGTATAGATGTTTCGGTAGTGGAAATTCACAGTGAAACATAAGATGAGTACGGATTCACGTGGATGTTTTCAGATTTGAAATTTAATTAGCGTAATTTTATCTGCGCGGCCATAGTGCTCGTTATTCTGCAAATTATCGGGCACGAGGTTTTCCTCTCTATGCTTAGGGTTGTCAAAAATTGTAAAATTAAATATATAAAAAAAAATAATTGCATGTTTTACTTAAGTTCCAAATTACGTAATCTTAACTTTAAATATTTTTATATCGATAAAGTATTGTATGCGTGGAATTAAAAAAAAACTAAGTTATCTATGCGTAATTTCAAATTAAATCTATCTCTGTTCTTTATGCAAATCATCCAAATAAAATATCCATCCATCCAAACTTAATGTTAGTAACATCTCGATTAACAATTTCACAGCCCTATAAAAACATCGTCTTAAAACAAACATTATTTGTTTAATATTAATATTATAATGTTCTATTAATATCATAATATAATGAATGGTCGATCTATACTTATATTTTATAGCTGTCGCCCGCGACTCCGTCCGCACGGAATTAAAAAAAAAACTTAATTAGTAGCCTATGTGTTCTTCCAGACTATGTTCTATATCTATGACAAATTTCAACGAGATCCATGCAGCCGTTCTAGAGATATCTTCAAACAAACATCCATACATCCATACATTCGCATTTATATTGTTAGTATGAAGTAGGATAGAGGAAAGATAATATGTTTTGTACTCAACAAATTGTTTGATTACCAAACACAATTCAGACCAAATTTTTCTAGACTGTAGACATATTTTAGTTACTGTATTTCAAAGAACAATATGCTACATAATAACTACTAGATTATTGAACTAACCGTGGGTTTCTGACACCAAAATCTCCCTTTAAAACAAATTATGTATCCATTTTGTCAAATGTGATAGGGATGACGATATGTTTTATACAGATATTTTGGTGTCAGAAACCCATGTTAAATAAAACAGGTCTTTGTCAATTGGATTGATAGATGTCTAAATAATACAGAATGAATTTTGATTTTTGGCAACCCTAATTTAGTTGGTTATAAAATTAAGACCTATACTTATTTATGCAAGCCTAGTATTCAGAGTGGAACGGAGAGAGCATGATCATTTCACTTTTGCTGTCATAGTGAGGTAAAGTCACGGGTTATATGCTATATTTAAATGCCCAAGTAACAACAGGGACACGTACGTATACGTAGACACGGGACACGTAGTAAGTCTTATGATTTTTACTACGCGTAGTTTGGGTAGGTTAGCCGGTTATTCCATCTTAATATATTTCTAGTAAATTAGCCTTCGTTCTTTTCTTTTACTTATTTTTATAGAAAGCTGTCCCAATGTAACGTTTGACTTACAGTAAAAAAATAATATAATAGAATGGACATGAATACATGTGTATACTCCTGGTTTTCGTTCTGTGAATATTCCATTAGCGTTGTTGATTCAAACTAAAATTACGTATTAAGATAAAACTTCCATCACAACAAATTGTATTGATTCTTATCGCTTCAAGTCGAGCGTGAGACAGATTGTATTGTTTATTTAATCTGTGGTTAGTGTTGGTCAATATTACAATTACATTTTCTTATCTGTGTCCATTGTTCATCAATCTGTACGTTGCCGCGCAATTTTGACATATGTCATCGAAATTTAAACGCTTTTCCAAAAATAAAAAACATCTCCCAGTCCTTTTCTATCTGTGGGGTAGATGCGCTGGTTGTGGTCCTACAGACCGATCATTCTATTGTCGTTTAAAATTAAAATCACGATACTAAAAATTGATGTTAAAACAATTATTAGTATGATTAAATTGAGAAAATTTATTATATTTGGTAATATAGTGAAGATAAATGTAACTTTTTGGTCAGTGAAGCTGGTCTATACGACACTAGCGACCTCTATAACCGCTAACTGAGATCGGGCTTTAACTGCTTCGCGGTAGTTAAGTTTTCGCAATCCCAGTGATCGCTAAGGTTACCATACTAACATAAACTAAATATAGGACTGTCCTAAATTTAGTACAGATGGACTTAACGTAAAAGTAAAGATTTGCATTTTTATTTTACTAATAGTTACTACATACTAAATAAAAAAAATAGCCTATATGTTCTTTTAGTTCTACGTCGAAGATATCACTCAGATCCGGTTAGCTGTTCTGGAGTTACGTAAACACTAATATCCATCCATGCATACATCTAAACATTTGCATTTGTATTATTAATAAAGTAAGATTAAATCGAAACAAAAAAATATAACAGTGGTAGAGCCCGCTTTAACATCTTGGATTGGCCCGGCTCGCCTGGTGAAATACCACGACCACACAGAAAACAGGCGTCAAGTGGAAGCAATTCTGCGTTATATCTGATGAATGTGGTTTGCCACCTTATGATATGAAAAAAAAATCGAAAGTGGGTGGAGCATTTAAGTAACTTGGAAATTAACTCTGGTAATTTGTTTCTCGTGATCTACGTTGACTGAAAATGTGTACTCTTATTTCGCAAGGTAGTGTACACAGTTTGTGGTCACCCTACATTGTGCGGGCAGTTACGTTTATCGTTGATAATATAATAACACTTTCTACATGGTGTATGAACGTTCTATGCCTCACAATGACAACGTTATATTTCATATTTTATATAACAAACTTGTGTGAATGTTATAAGGAAAATAACAAATTCAAGTTATAATTCTTAGAAATTTAAATTGTTATTTTATTCATGCATTCAGGTAAGGGAACATACCCATACTACTTGACCTATTTTTTTAGTTTTTTCGACCCCTCCCACCCCTCGGTGACCACTCGTAGTACATGCCAAGACACTCGCTTTAGTTTTTACTTAGTAATTCATAATTATGATTTTTAATAATTTCACAGGCAAAAATTGAAAAAAAAAAAATAATTTGGCTCATACTCTTCTTTATAGCATAAGACTGCATGCATACTTAAATTAATAGTGAACTGTGACTACGTGACGTAAATCTGACCCACCCCCCCCGCTCCTGTGACTGATCGTAGTATATTAAGGACTCCCCCCTCCCCTAAACGGGT